AAAAAAAAAAGAAAAAAAAGAGAAAAAAAAAAAGAAAGAAAAAGATGATAGTGATTACAGAATCGCATGCCATGTTCTCAATGTGTTCACTGTGATAAGTAAACCCTCCCACATTTTTTAATACGGGATGCTGGGCCCAGTTCCCAGCAGGTGCTGCTCCCCACAAATAGATTGGAGCATTGGTGTACCAAAGAAAAAAAAAAGAAAAAAAAAGAAAAAAAAAGAAAAAGAAAGCCTCGCACATTGAGTACATAGTTTGCATTTGTCTATCTCCGTGTTCTGAACGAAACTATTGCCCTTTAGGGAGGCGATCCAGGACTAAGGCCCTATTAAAAAGAATAGCAACGTATGTATCTTGCCAACTTCTGTGGGAAGATGCACGGCCGTTTTTTCTGGTTCCGTGAGTAGTCTGGTGTGGCGATCCCCTAACCACCATAATTCTGTTTAGTTCGTCCGTTTTGCCCAGGAAAAAAAAAAAAAAAAAAGAGAAGGAAAAGAAAGTTCATCCATTTTGCCAGCTCACAAACTGCCATGATGATACATACATGTGTATTGTTGACGTCTCTCAAAAATTACCTTCCCCCCGCCCCCCCCCCCCTCTCTCCCAGCTATGAATGTATAACACTAATAATTTAATATATTATTTTATTATATCATTTATGACCTTGGACTATATACTACCCTACACTGTGTTGCATGCAGGTTGAGGCGATGCATAGGGAAATTGAGATCTTAAGTCAAGAGCATGAGCGGCAGGTACATTTCCATATCTCCCTCCCTCCATTTGCGCCCCCCMCCCCCGGTCCCCTTTGCTTCGTTCGTCCCTACCCTTCCCTTCTTCTTCTTTTTTTTTTTATAAATAATATTTTATAAAGGAAGCTACTTTCTTCTTTCAATTTCACCTCACACTACCTACCTACCACTACTCCCTTCTTTGGCTCATTCCCTTCCTTTTTTTTTTCTTTTTTTTTTCTTTTTTTTTTCTCTCTTCCCTTTGGCTCATTCTGTCCTTCGGTCTACAACTCTCTTCCTCTTTCCGTTTTCCTTCATTCCGTCCGTTTCTTCCTCCTTGTCTCTCGACGTGCCCCCACCCACTTCTCCACCACCTCCTCTCTCCCCAGGACCCCTTCCCTTTTCTTGCTGCCTTGTGGCCCTTGCATCCTTACCTCCTCCCTCTCCTCTTTCCTCACATCCTTTCTTTCTTTCATCCTTCATTTGGTGCTTGCTACCCTTCCCTCTTGTTGTTGTTTGTCATTGTTCTTTTACTTTCTTCTCCACCTCCCTCCCCCCCCATCCCCCAATTTGAGAGCTGTTTGCTTTTTCTCTCACTGAGTAGAGAGACAAGGTGTCATCGCCATTTTCCCGGCTGGATGGCAGGTTGCTTTTTTTTCCTTACGGGGGTAGCCCTTCATATCCAGCTGATCCCATGAGGACTCGAGCTTTGGACCTGTCATGGCCGACTCTCAAATTTATGCCTTTTATGATAGATAAAAATTCAGGGTGCAGCATACGTTATGCGTTTTAATTTTTAAAAATAAATTTAAGTATACCAACCCAGGTTTTGGGTCAGGTGGGGTCACGTGGGGGTGTGTTGTATTCGTGGGATTGCCTGAAGTGCATTTCCAAACTGTTTTCGTGACTGCGCTGAAAAGTTACACCTTAAAAAAAAAAAAAAAAAAAAAAAAAAAAAAAGAAGAAGAAGAAGAAGAAGAAGTTACCCCTATATAGTATATATTATGCATGGATTTTCGATTCCAACCCTGTTGGTTCTGCCAAAACTACTCAGTGCATTCACTGCATTGCATCTTCTTTTTTTGGGGGGGGGCAACGGCTCCTGGGTCTACCACCCCTTCGCCCCCCCCCCACAAAAAAAAGAAGAAGAAGAAGAAGAAGAAGAAGAAGAAGAAGAAGAAGAAGAAGAAGAAGAAGAAGAAGAAAGGCAACTTTAGCAGTTCTCGAAACAGGTTATGAATGAAAATAGGTAGAGAGTCAAGAGACAAATCACACGATGAGTAAAGCACACACTCCAGCGGTAGCACACTTCACACAATCGAAGAAAGTCAATGCAATGATTGAGATAGAGAATCCACCGTCATCATTCCGACAACCCCAAGAACCCCCGTCTCTCGACATACCCAACCGGTTAGAAAACATGGTAGAAGAGGTTAAACCCGCTTCAAACATGCTACTTATACCACGACTCTTTATCCTACGTACAAAACAAGGTCAGGAGAAAAACACACTTCATCCTACGTACAAAACAAGGTCAGGAAAAAACACAGAACAAGTCCTACTGCTGGTTCCGCAGTCCTATGGTTCCAGAAAGAAACGGCTTCGGACAGCAAGCTACATTGGACTCTGGTCGGACCAGTTGGGCAGTTCAGTCAAAAGACTAAAACGAGGCTCAAACAAATCACCAGCAGAAGAAAAAAACGAAACCTACTGATGGGGGCCTTCCCTCGAAACGGGGCCAAAGAAAAAGCCGCCAGTCACACCCAGCGTTTGTAATAGGCAACCTAGCAGTTCTCGGAAAACAGGGCACATTAAAAAAAGGGTGCTGCTAAATCTGCATTCTGCCATTTGCGCCACTTCAAAAAAAACGGCCGCACGCAGTTTCAACTTTAAACCCCCCGGCTAAACTTGCACATTTTGAAACTCAAAGAATGACATCGGCGCCACTTTGTCTTTTCTTGCCTATTTCAAACTAAAAAGGTGACTCAGGAGCAGTTTCCCATCTTTTGTTTTTCCCCAGGAACTTCGGTCCGGATACTCTACTTGTAGAGGTAATAAGAGCATCCATCTGTTTTTTTTTTTTTTTTTTTT